TGTGAGGCCCGGAGGGAGCAGGTGCGCACTGAGGAGAGAAACGGTGCCTGCTGACTACAACTCGAGCAGAGAGTGGGGACGATGCTTCTAAAATTTGTTTCCTGTTATCACCTTGTTGCTGGTCTTGTGTGGGATGCTGTCAGGTGTGTGCACGAAGGACAGGCAGTGCGTGATCGTTAATACTCTACTTCTGTCAGCCCCAGTGTCCCCGAGAACCAGAAATCTCAGTGTGGAGGAAGGGGGACGGGCACCAGACAGAAGGCGGTGAGCACTAACTGCGTCATTCTGACTCTGAACACTCACGAGCTGTCTGTCTTTAAAAGTGTAAGTACCCACTTACTCCAAGCAGCACAGAGGTCTAGAAGGAAGGAGCAACCCGGTGGCAATGAGCATCCCTGGCACCCAGAATGCACTGCATTTCCCACAAAAATAATCAAGGTTTCCTCAAGAATCAGCTGATTCCAGCTCTGGGGCAGGAAACGTACAAGGCGGGCCTGCAGGATCTCACCCTGGAACAGCAAGGAAGTTGTCCAAGACTGTGAGGGCCGCTCACACAGCCTCAGGAGTCAACTGGAAGAGCCAAAGGTGGGACAACCTGAGCATCAAACAGGCTAACAACTGCAATGGCTTCAAGCACAATAAGTATGTCTAAATCTGTGAACTCAAAATGACACTAGGAAGCATTCTTGGTCATCTGAGGAGGATAACAGAAATCCAACCTAGCATTTGGGAATATAAAGGAGAAGAAACCAGCTGTTCCACGGCTGACCCCGACTCCTGGCTCACCTGTGTGTCAGAGCAGGGTCTGCAAAGGCCAATTTTCCTGAAGGAGGTCACCAGGCCTTTCCTCCAAGGCACGGCTGGGTGGACCCAAGCCACCAACTGTCCAGTGAGCAGCTGAGCACTTACCTGTTTGTGCCACCAGGGCCTCGGTGAAGGAGAAGAACCAAACAGTCATTCTGCCTTTCCTAAAGAGCAGAGGGGAAGTTTTTCTTCATAAAATACTCCCAACTACTGAATGAAGAAGAGAGCAGGGCAGGATTGGCAGACCACCATCTTGGAACACTTAGTACACTGTTGCTGTCGGTTACCATAAGCGGCTCTGAATCCTGGCAGCCTTACGCACATCAGAAAGACACGCTGCCCAAGTCCTGAGCCATCCAGTACGCTGGAGTCCAGAGCGCAGAACTTCTGGAAATTAATCAGCAGGCTTTCTTCCTAGTCTCTCTCGGTCAGAAGCTCCAGTGAACACTGTCCCCTAGGGTGACTCTGCTGGTATTTGAACCACCAGCGGCACACGCTCCAGCACCACAGCAACGTGCTCACCACCACAGACAGCAACCCTACAGGGTAGAGGAGGACGCCACTGGCTGCTCGTTCCGTCTAGACCTTTGGGATCCTTGCAGCGAGGAATCAGGGTTTCCAAAGCTGTACATCTGTTCAGAATTTTTTATCCCATGGAGTAGCTTGGTGAACCCACCAACCTTTTCTTGGTTAGCAGCCAAATGCTTTGCCCACTGTACCACCAGGGCTCCCTGACAGATGAAGAGTGGTAATAACTGACAGGACCTCCACATTGAGCATAAGCGGCTACTAAAACACAAAGAGAAACCATCAGTCGTAAGGCTCCTGACAGGAACACAGCACCAACTAGGAAGCAGATCTTGCCAGAACATTGACTCTACACTGGATTGAGCCTCTAGAGCCAACTACTGAGTTACTGGGAATACATGCTCATGGCACCATGGAGACAGGAAGAGCAATGTTCAAACTATGGAAACAAATGTCGTTTCAAAGAGAGACAGAAATGGAGGGGCATCCTGTGGATTAAAGAAGACTGTTTTGGTTACTTATTACTGCTCTGGCAAGAATATACCACAAATGGGATAGCTTTAACAAACTGGAGTTTATTCTCCACAGTTTGGAGGCTTTAAGTCTGAGTTCAATGTGCCAGGCTCTAGGGGCTGGGTGAAAGCCCCTCAACCTTGGGCGTCAGCTCTGCCTCCTGCTCCCAGCCCACTGAAGCTGGAGGCTTTTCTTCACTCAGACAGCTGCTGGCTGCTGAGACTGACAAGCGCAAGGTTGACATGTAAAAAGGCACAGTCCTGACGTTACCAAATCACACGGCAAGCCATTAATTCAAGTCCATTGAAAGTCTCAAGGTCGTCAGAGCATGGCAGGCCGTTGAACAACAACTTGGCTACATGCAGGGTTCAAGTGTGCCGTAAGCTAGAGACCATTCCCCAAGGCTTCTCCTTATATACAGGATGCACACCACATCCCTAAGGCAGCTCCTCAGCTGCTAACAGTAGATTCCACCATGGAGTGGATGACCAGTCTCATCATGGGGAATACTACACCCAGCTGCCCAACCACTCAGCCTGGCCCAGCCAAGTTGACAAACAGTTTTAACTACCATAAAGACTTAAGAGACATTCAGAACACAGACAAAACCAAACCATAATATTTAGAGAGGAACGTTTGGCTGATAAAACTAAAAAGCAAAGCAAAGGGGTGATTTCTGCCATGAGATGGCAGGTCCTTCTAAGAGGATCAGAGGGGATCAGGGCAAGTGCCTGGTAAACCCTCACACCCTGCTTGGGGTTACAAAAGGGCTTGCCTTATCATGACTCACAAGCTAGACATCACCTGCTCCATGGTGTTTTCTGATTGTGTGTGACATTTTACAACAAGAAAGGTTAAAAATGTGGTTTTTAATTTATTTTTAAGAAACAAACTGTTAAATACAATTAAAACTAACCGGGTTTCTTTCTCATCTTCTTCCCCCACCCGTCTGTCCTACTGTGGTGGCTTACATGTTTCTGTGATGCTGGAAGCTAAGCCCTTGGTATTTCAAATACCAGCAGCAGGGTCACCCCAGGGAGCTCTGGTAGCACAGTGCCTAACACACTTGACTGCCAATCAGAAGGCTGGCAGTTCAAACCCACTAGCCACTCCCCGGAAGGAAGGTTGGGCAATATACTTCCGTAGTGATACCACCCCAGAAACCCAAGGAGGGGTAACTATATGTCAGGTCCGACTCGATGGCAGTGAGTTTGGAGCAGGGTCACCCACGGTGGACAGGTTTCAGCAGAACTTCAGACTAAGACACTCTAGGAACACAAACCTGGTGATGTACTTCTTAAGAAACCGGCCAGTGAGAACCTTCTGAACAGCAGCAGCAGCACATGGTCCGACAGAGTGACAGTGCTGGAAGAGGGGCCTCACGCTGGGGGGCGCTCAAAACAAAGACGGAGGAGGGCTGCCTCCTTGGAGGAGAGTGCTTGGAGTAAGGACGTGAATTACTCAATAACGTGGATGGACTAAAGCTGTTGGGACCTTCATTTGCTGATGTGGCACGACTCAAAATGAGAAGAACCTGCTGCAAGGATCCATTAATAGTTGGAACATGGACTGAACACAGTACGTGGGATGAAACGGGATGTGTAAAGACAGATATCCTTGGCATCAGTGAGCTCAAACGGGCTGACACTGGCCATTCTGAATGCAACAATCATTCCCTTTCCTCCGATCAGACAACAACATGCAAGTAAAATACGTTATTCTATTACATAACTCATATTAAAGGACACTGAAATGCCTTAAAATCCACGTGAAAGTATGACAACTTCACTGGCTGCCACTGGATTGCAGGGTGGAGGCTGAGCCAGTAAATTAAACGTGGTTCTTCATGGTCTCCCATCATTAATGGAGCATCACGTCTGGGGAAGAACTCAAGCAACTTGTAAGAAAGTTGTGGGCGAGATGAACAGCAAACACCCGGCCATCTAACAGACACCAACCATGGTGGTTATGTTTGTGTGTCAACCTGGCTGGGCCTGGCTGAGTGGCTGGGCAGCTGTGTAGTAGTCCCCATGATGAGACGGGTAATCAACCCCACAGTGGAATCTACTGGGAGCAGCTGAGTAGCTGCCTTTGGGTACGTGATCTGCTTCCTGCATATAAGGAGATGTTTTGAGAATGGTCTCTAGCTTATGGCATGCTTGGACCCTGCATGTAGCCGTGTCGTTGCTCAGCAGCCTGCTATGTTCTGCCGACCTTGGGACTTACAACGGACTTAAGTTAATGGCCTACCGCATGGTTTGGTAACATCAGGACTGTGCCTTTTTTACTTGTCAACCTTAGGGTTTCTCAGCCTCAGCAGCCAGCAGCTGTCTGAGTGAAGAAACGCCTCTAGCTCCAGTGGGCTGAGAGCAAGAGGCAGAGCTGGACCCCAAGCTTGAGGGGCTTTTACCCAGCCCCTAGAGCTTGGCACTTGAACTTGGACTTAAAGACTCCAAATTGTAAGAATAAACTCCTGTTTGTTAAGGCCGTCCCATTTGTGGTATATTTCTGTCAGAGTGGCACCAGGGAACCAGAACACCGATACCTTCTGCGGTCAACAAGAAGCTGATCCAAACAGAACCATCAGAAAGTGATCAAGGGCACGATACACAGTGGCCAGACGAGCTAATGCCCAGTGGCCCTGGGTCCACCCTCTCTGACACGCACAGATAAACAGTGCAGGTAGAGCTCCACTTTGCACGGCTAACCATTCTCTGCTCACTGTCCCTCCCTCACTGACGTTCTGTCTCTGGCTTTCTTTGGGAATTTCTGTCACTTGGGAGACTGCAAGGGGCAGGGAGGGAGGGAGGTAAGAAATGTCGGTCTGGCTACAATGAGCTCAGGTGAAAGGAACGTGATCCCTACGAGCATCACTTCTGCTTATGCTGTTCCGGTTCAGAAAGGGTCTGAGAGGTCAGAGAGACTCCACCACTGGCCTGGGAAGAAAAGTCTCACTGGCTTGTCCAACAGGAGCCTTGACATTCACAACATTCTCAGGTGTCCGTCGTTATCTTCCTATGATTCACACACATGAATTTTCAAAGTACTCGATTCTGTGTGTTATGTGACTCTATGGCCATGTTACACATGAGGAACCTTCAAGAAATTTAGCCTGGACAGTCACAAGCACACACAGAAAGTCGGGAGCGACTCACTCATGTTCAAGGCAGCCATCCCTCCTTGCGGAGCAGCTGGGTAGACGTTCGGGACGTTGGTGGTCATGAAGTCTGCGATCTGCTGTAAGGCCAGCAGGCCTGTGGGATTCTTCCCCTTCTTAAACTGCTCCTGTATCATTGACTCCAGCTCTTCACAGAAAGCCTGAAAACGGCAAATCAAAACCGTGAGACAGCATTTCCTTCTGCACCAACGTCTCTGTTGTCTGTCTGCATCCAGTGCTGGAAAGGGACACTGACGTTCATACACTGTGTGCTACAGGTTCTCTTCTGGAAAGGCAGCTATTCTAACAGGAATAGAAGCTTCATGTTCTAGCCCTAGAAATCTATTCTAAGGAAATAATCAGGGCTGTCTCCAGATTTATTTATAAAGACGTTCTTGCCAGCACTGCTGATGAACCGGGAAAGCGGCTAACAGGCTACCTTTCCACCAATAAAGGGCTGATTAAATAAGGTCTGTTTAAATACAATGAAACATCCCTAAAATTAAGCATGTAATGTAGATACAACTTGGAAGACATAAAATGGCTCTTGATGTACTGAGTGGAAAAAGTAATGAAGAGAACCAGTTTTTATAAAAGTACATAGCTGGCGGTTCAAACCCCCAGCCATTCCTTGGAAGGAAGGTTGGGCAATCTACTTCTGTGGTGGTCCTGCCTCAGAAACCCAAGGAGAGGTCGCTATGAGTCGGGGCCGACTCAATGGCAGTGAGTTTGTTTTTGGTTTTTTTTTTTCCTCTGAAGTACATAGCTAAACCCGGAAGGAAGACTGGGCGATCTATTTCCCTAGTGGTACTGCCTCGGAAACCCAAGGAAAGGTAGCTATGAGTCGGATCCAACTCGACAGCAGGGACCAGACCAGACCAGACATAGCTGAACACAGAAAAAGACAAAAAGCTACTACAATGATGAACATTTTTTAAAATTACTTTTTAAGTCAAAAAAGAAATCCTACAATGACATGAGACAAAGTATATGTGAACTGCTGTATGAAAAGTGAATTTACTCTGTAAATCTTTACCCAAATCCTAATTAAAAAAAAAAAAAGAAAGAAATCCTAGGAATTGATCGTTTATCAAATCCAAAATGAAGCAGAAACATCACGCTGGGATGACAGAGTCCCTGAGTGGGGCACTTAACCCTCCTGGCAACTGAGCGGGTGGCAGTTCAAGCCCCCCTAGGAGTGTCTCTGAACACAGGCCTGGCACCCTACCTCTGGGACTCCCACGGAGCACAGCTGTGCTCTAACACACACAGGTCACCAGGAGTGGGAACTGACTGGACAGGAGCGGCCTGCTATGTACATGGCACTGACCTCCTATGTTCAGATGAGGGGATCAGACCCCAACAGAACACGGGACCTGACATACCAGAAAAGGAGGGACCAGGTGTATAGTAGAGCTGACAATGGACAAGGTTGTAGTCACTTCTTGGCCATAGCCGGCTCCAGAGGGAGCGAGTAGTTGGACCTGTGGGCTTAGGACCATGGTCACAGGGAAAATCAAGCTCAAACAGCATAACGTACTACACATTGTTCCACCTCCTACTTTGGTGAGTAGTGACTGGGCTTACAAGTGGTCATCTAGATGCAACGATGGGTCTCTTCTTGTCCAAACCAAAGAAGAATGAAGAAAACCAAAGACATTTAGAAACAATTAGTCCAAGGGACTGGTACACCATGTTATCCTCAGCCTATATGACTATGAGACCAGAAGAACTAGATGGTGCCCGGCTACCACTGTCAACCACTCGGAGGGAGATCTATGTAGGAGATCCTGGATAGAGTGGGAGAACAATGTGGAACAAAACTCAAAATCATGAAACAAAGACCAAGTTTGGCCTGATAGAGCCTGGTGAGACCCCTGAGACTATGGTCCCTAGTTACCCTTCAGGTCTGGAACTGAACTCACTCTTGAGGCTTCCAGACAAACAACAGGCAGATGGGGTGAACATTTACATCAGGTAGATACACTCCTTGGAACGATCAATCATGGGAGAAAAGAAGGGCAGTGTTTGCACAGGGAGATAGCTTGGGGGAAAAGAGTGCATGGAAGGAAGGACACAGGGAAGAGGTACTATAGGGAGGAAGTGGGAGGAAAGCTGTTGCATTACGGGGAATCGCAGTCGATGTCATGAAACAAAACGTGTATGAATCACTGTATGGAAAACAAATTTGCTTTGTCAACTTTTACCCAAATCACAGTAAAAATTTTAAAAAGAAAGAAAGAAAAGGAAGGTGTGCTCAAAGCAGAAGCTGCCTCTTACTGGACTCTGTAGGATCATGGACACCCTCTTCTTCTGCTCCATCATGTGGAAGTCCTGGCGAAGGTCTGGCGCCATGTTCCTCTCACGCAAGTATTCTGGATTGTTCTCATCCACCCTGTCGAAGTACCTCTCCTTGTGAGGGGCCGTGGTTGGTGGTGGTGAGGTCACCACGGCAGCCCGAGTATCACCATTCATTGCACAGTCTTTCTAGGCTCCTACAGAAGCAAAATGAAAGAAGTTACTGTTTCTGCATCAACACCCAACAGTGTTTCACAAAACAAGCACGTCAGCCTAATGCCCTCTGCCACATGAGGCCACTCCCAGCCGCTCCCAGTGGGAGCTGTGACGGGGAGCCTCACAGGAACAAGGCAGACCACTGGCTCCATGCTGCCGCTTGCCAGTGCACTTTTTGTCCTGACCACTGTTCCCGAGGAAACAAAAGGTGAACAGTCTAACAAAGCTGTTACGTTTTCTGATGATTGTAAAAGGACTAGATATCATTTCAGGTCACGGACCGCCTCCCTTTACCCCCAGGTCTGTTGACAGTGGCACAGCTTGTTTCTGAAGAAATGTGATTTCTGACTTTCTCCAGAAAGTGCAATGGGTCCCTCAGCAGATCAACAGCAGGTGAGCTGCTTGCACACCTGCACTCGTGCAAAGGGGATGCTTCCTCACCAACATCAGCTCTTGAGTCAAAACCAGCAGCAGGTTCACAACTGTCGACCTGCTCCAGTCAGCGTGTCCATAGCCGCAAAAGATGCCAAGATGGCTCCAATTTACAAGGCTGCTAACATGGCTACTTAGTCTACCTTCGTTTTAATCCCAATCTTTTACTTGAAATGATGTTAACAGCTGTGAAATTCCTCTTTAACTACTAAATCACTAAGCAGTGCACTTACAAATCCTACAAACAGTGCAGCTTCTATCTGTTTCCATAAACCACTGACAGCTTTAGCAATTCACATTCAGGACTCCTGGGCCTCTGTTAAGTCCACTGACTGTGCTGGGAACGAGACATAGGAAAGCAGAGATGGCCCACACTTTCGGGAGAGCTGGACTCAGAACTGAGCAGGAGAGACAGAGCTCTGTGGAAGGCAGAGGTGCTGACCTGGGAGTCAGGTGCACAGAGATGGCAGCTGGGCCCTGCGAGGAGAGGGGGCTGTATAAGGCAAATCCACCGGCAGGTACCAATGAGAAGGGGCACGGCCAGCACCTAGGACAGTTCCAGCACACGGTGAGGGTGCACTAAAAATGCCCTGAGTGCAATGGAAGGAAAGAACAAAGAGACTAGATGAGAAAGAGTTCCCAAACCACAGGCAGGGCGTCTGAATGAGTGAGGGACCCACAGAGCCGAGCTCACAGAGAGCAAGCACGGAGGGACTCCAAAGCGTTGATCGGCTCGCAACGAAAAAGCCCCTGGTGCTTCTCCTTGCACCACACACAAAACGAACTCCAAACAGATCGTCCATCTGAAGCTAAGAGCAAAAACTATTCAACTCTACAAAGAAAACTAAGGATTATGTCTCCGGGACTCGGGGTCAGGCAGCGTCTGCCTTCTTAGATGACACCAAACAAATGTACAAGCAACCAGAGGAAAAAGGAGAAACTGGACTTCATCAGAAGTCAAAACTCAGTGCTTGCAAGGGGACATCCAGAGGGTGAGAAGACAACGCACAGAATGAGGCAACACAAGTACAAAGCCTGTATCTAAGAAGACTCGGCCAGAACATGGAAAGAGCTCTTACAACTCAGTAAGAAACCTAACTACAGAGCCCTGAGAACCACCAAGGGACCTGAGTGGACGCCACGGGGAGCAGAAAAGGTGCCAGCTGAGCCCTGCCTAAATTCCTGACCCACAGGGTCATGAGATGTTATAAAACCATCACTGTAAGCTGCGAAGTGTGGGGTGTGTTGTCGTGCTGCAACACGTAACTGACTGCTGTTCAGTGGGACCCGACTCATAGCAACCACTCCTTGGGTTTCCGAGGCGGCATCACTACTGCCCAACCTTCCTTCTGAGGAGTGGCTGGTGGGTTTGAACTGCCAGCCTCCTGGTTAACAGTGAAATGCTTTAGGCACTAGGCCACCAGAACTCCCCCAACAGGTAACTAGTACAACGTTAATAATGAGGATAAGGACGGCGGCAGCTGGATGTGTGTGCCAAGACATTGTTCTTTACCTGCATTCAATGACGTGGTCCAAACAAAGGGCTAGGTGGGAGCACAGAGACAGAGCCTCAGGCAGAAACCATTACAAGCTCTCGGGAACCAAAGGTCCTAAAACGGTGCAGGGGCAGCCAATCAAAGGGAGCAGCAGATCCCAAATATCCACTGGCAAGGGGAGTCCAACGTCAGGATCCCTTCCCAGGTGCAAGAGTACAGGTGTCACCAGTAACCATCACAGCTCACATCACTACCCCAGCTACCACTGCCCTCCAGGGGAGACACCCACCTGAGGCTGAAGGCTCTCTGCTGCTTCAGGGAACCGAGCACACCCCACTTGGTTCATGAGATCAGGAAAAGCCTTTAATAACTCTGATCGGATCATTTCTATTCTTGGGTCTCAGGATGTTCTCTTGCAGAGGACACTGCTCAAAAGTCCCCTTTAAAACAACCACGCTGCCATCCAGACCACCCACTACGTGCAAGCACCGACTGACAGCTCATTTGTGAGTCCTAATTCATTTTCAGAAAAGGAAACTGAGGCACAGAGCTGTAAAGCAGCCAGTTGTGGGGTCTGAATGCTGGGTGCGTGGCTCCAGAGTCCCTCCCTCAACTACGGCGCACTCTCTCTCCCTCAGGTCTCAGCACAGCTCACATCACAAGGGCAGGCACGGTGAATGGAAGCAACGGGCCCCCACCTGCTCTCCCACGCTCAGGATCTTGGACAGGACCCACTATCCGGGGGTCCTCCTGCTCCTCCACTCTTTTATGTTAAAATAACAGGTTTCCAGCCTAACTCTCACATATGTTGTTCAATTTTTGCATACAGTTATATAGCAAAAACAAACAAACTCACTGCCGTGGAGTCAGATCCAACTCACAACCCCTCCTTGGGTTTCTGGGGCGGTATCACTACGGTTCCAAGGAGTGGTTGGTGGGTTTGAACCGCCAGCCTTCTGGTTAGCAGTCAGATGCCTTAGGCACTACACCACTATAAGATTGTTCACTGGAAAAATGAAATGATCTCCCAACCTCTGGCCTTCAAGACGATGTCACTGAGCCACAGAGATACTGAAAAAGCACAGGGACATACACATCACCTCCAGCACTCCCAAGGCCTTCACTGAATTTCTTCCAGGTTCAGAGAAGGAGACTGCAACTAGAGGGAGTGGGAAGCGTGGCCAGAGTAGCCAGTGACAAGGACAGTGCCAAAGGCCCTGTGGCACACACCCAGACCATTTCCCACCAGCCCCGCGTGATGCCCCATTTGCAGAGGAAGCCGCAGACTCTAAGTTCCATGCTCCAGAGGCTTTATGATGAATAAACAGCAGAGCAGAGTCAGAACGTGAACCCACGATCACCCGCTCTGGGTGCCCAGCCCACCTGCGGCAGCGCAGTAAGTGAAGAGCTGACCGCAGGCACCCTGGGGTTCTGTCACTCAGCAGGGTCTCTCCATGTTGGGCACATCATAGGTGCTCAACAAATAGCTGTTAAATAAATGGATAGTGTCTTGGTTCTCCAGTACTACTCTAAAATTCCACAAATGTATGGTGTGAGCAAACAGGAATTCATTCTCTTACAGTTTAGGAGCCTATAAGTCTGAGTTCGAAGTACCAGCTCCAGGGGTTGGGTGAAGTCCCCTTGACCTTGAACTTCAACTCTGCCTCTTGCTCCTAGCCCACTGGAGCTGTAGGTGTCTCTTAACCAGGCAGCTGCTGGCTGCTGAGGCTGACAAACCCAAGATCAACAAGTAAAATGGCACCGTCCCAAGATTATTAAGCAACACAGCAGGCCACTAGTTCAAGTCCAGAAACAGTCTCAAGATCAGCAGACAACATGGCAGGCCACTGAGATGCAGACTCGGCCAAATGCAGGCAGGACCCAGATGTACCAAAAAGCTCAGAGACCTTTCTCA